TGGCCATAGGTGAGTGTGGGAGCAGAGGGCAGCGGCTGGGCGAAGGCAGGCCCTCACCTCTGACCTCGGGCCTGGCCTGTGCCGGTAGGTCTCTTTCAGCTGCTGGTGAACCCCATGCATATCTATGAAGAGCAGAAGTTGGTAACGCTGTACGGCTTGGTGGGTGAGTGCTGGGCAAAGGCCGGGACACTCCCGAGGCCTGGGCACGCAGCGCAGCCCTGGGCGCTGGAACAAGCCTGGGCTTTTCTCTTCTGCACCCACACCACTGTGGCTGCAGCTTCCTGGGGGGAGGGCCAGAGGGGCAAGCCCCCCCCAAGAAAGAAGACACAGCCCTCGCCCTCCAGGAATCTCCTGAATCTAGGGGACTCCCCGTCGCTCACATGATGTGGTCCGAACCTCGTGATGTCTGGGCCGGCTTCATGGCCTGGTGGCAGCCCACGTAGCGAACAGTGCCGTTCAAGTCCGGGACCCAGCAGCTTGAGAAACACGGGGTACATGCCCCACATGCGAAAACAGAGAGAGACGGAGAAGGGGTCATGGCGTGACCATTCCTATGGGGCGGGGTCTTTCCCCCTCCCTCTCTGTCTCTCTGGCAAGTGCACACGCCTCTAGGGCAGAAGAAAACAAACCCTGTGATTTTCCATAACCTTCATCTCTCCTGACCTCTCTGCTCTTCCTGAGAAATTCTCTTCATTCATGCATTCATTCAGCACTTTTTTCTTTTTTTTTTTTTGTGAGAGATTTTTGCTGTAGGGCGTATGTGTTTGCCAGAGAGACAGGGAGAGACAGAGAGACAGAAAGTGAGAAATCACCCCCTGGGGGGGCAGCCCATGCCACAGTCTCTTCTCCATTCTCCTCTCAGGATTTGGGGGACGCATACACACACACCTGGTGAGGTTTCAAGCCAACGGATCCAGGACTCAAACCACAGTCAACCACGTGGAGTCCAGTGATGTAACCATTATGCCGTCTGCTGATCTCATCATTTAGCATGTTTTTTAATTTAAAAAATTGTTTATTTCATTTTATTTAGTATCATTTTAATTTTTTTATTTTTAAAGAGTTATTTTTATTTATTTATTTATTTATTTATAATCTGACCAGAGAGGGACAGAGTAAGAGACAAGCAAGCCGCCAGTCCAGGACTCGAACCACAACTGGCTATGTGGGAGTCCAGTGCGTTTAACCACTATGTCACCCATTGGCCCCTCTTTTTAAGAGAGATTTTTGCTATAGGGCATATGCGCTTGCCAGAGAGACAAAGAGAGACAGAAAGACAGAAAGTGAGAAATCACCCCCCCTTCTCCTCCATTCTTCTCTCAGGATTTCGGGCAGGCACGCACGCGCGCCTGGCGTGAGTTTTAAGCCGTCAAGTCCAGGCCCTGATGACTACATGGGAGTTCAGCAATGTAACCCTTATGCCATCTGCTGATTCCGTCAGTCAGCACTTTTTAAAATAATTATTTATTTAATTTTATTTATGATCATCATTATTATTTTTAATTTGACCCAAGAGAGATAGAGAGGGCAAGTAAAGTATGCCATCAGGATTGGGACTCGGGCTACAGCGAGCCATGTGGGGATCCAGCACCCCAACCACCATGCCACCTGCCAGCCCCTCAGCAGTTCTTATTTAGTTATTAATCTTTAGGTTTTCACCATAGGGTGCATGTGCTTGCCTGAGAGAAACAGAGACAGACAGTCAGAGGGGAAGGGAGAAATGACCCCTCGGGAGATGGCCATGCTGCAATCCCCTCTCCTCCACTTTCCTTTCAGGATTTCGGGCACGCATGCACATGTGCCCAGTGTGATTTTCAAGCCATCGGGTCTGGGACTCAAACTGAGTTCTGCCATGTGGGAGTCCAGCACCTTTTTTTTTTTTTTTAGAATTTATTTATTTATTTATTTGATGAGAGAGATAGAGAGAGAAGAGAGAGGGAAAGTGAGAAAGCAAACCTCCAGGTCCAGGACTTGAACCGTGGTCGAACATGTAGGAGTTCAGTGCCCTTCACCTCCAAGACACCAGCTGGCCCTGGGAGCCCAGCACCTTAACTATCATGACACCTGCTGGCCCCTCATTCAGCACCTATTGGCCATCTGCTGAGGATTTAGCAGAGAACAGGGTTGAAAAGCATCTGGCTCTTGAGTGGAGAGTTAAGCAATCAATGAACAGTAAATAAGAACATCTCTGATGGGGACAAGTGAGATGATCAAAGGTAACAGGGAAGTGTGGTAGCAGGGGCTAGAGAACTCACTCTAGCTTGAGTAGTCAAGGGAAGGCTTCTCAAGGTGAGAGGCGGGACCAGCAGTTGGTGTAATGGCTGTGTCGCTGGACTCCCATATAGTCAACTGTGGTTCAAATCCTGGACCCGGTGGCTTAAACTCATGCCGGGTGCATGTGCATGCGTGCCCAAGATCCCACAAGGAGAATGGAGGAGAGGGGATTGCGGTGTGGCCATCCCTTCTGGGGGGTGATTTCTCACTTTCTGTCTCTCTGGCGAGCACATGCACCCTATAGCTAAAAACCTCTCCAGAAAAAGGTGAGAGGCTAGGGGGCCTCTCAAGAGGTATTGGGCTGGGGGCCAGCAGGTGACATAGTGGTTAAGGCAATGGACTCCCACATAGTCGATTGTGGTTCAAGCTGATTGTGGTTCAAGCCCCAGATCTGGCAGCTTGAAAATCACACCCAGCATGGCATGTGTGTGAGTATGTGTGTGTGTACCCAAAGTCCCAAGAGGAGAATAGAGAAAGGATTCTGGCATGGCCATCCCCTGTGGGGATAATTTCTTACTTTCCCTCTGTCTCTCTGGGGCGAGTGTACACATCCTTCAACAAAAAGAAGAGGAATTGGGCTACAAGAGCAGTAAATCCACCAAAAAGTGTTTTAACCATAGAGATAGTTCATTACCTCACACACAAAAAAGGTAAGGTGGTTTGGGAGTTTGGATAATTCAATAGTTCAGTAACCCCACTAAAGACCCAGATTTCTTCCATCTTTTCTCTCTGTCACAAAATGGTTGCAGCAGCTCCAGACATCACATGTTCATACAATGTCAAAGACCAGAAAAGAATGGAAGTAGCATCCTTTACTCATGTCCTTTGTTAGCAGCAAAGGAACTTTCCCTGTAAACCTCTCTCACATCTGTGTGGTCAGAACTGCAACATATACACTTTCCTGAACCTGTCTCCAGCAAAGAGCATGGGATTAGCATTGTCACCTGCCCATTGAATGAATCCTATTGGATGCCGACAGGAAACTTTCTCCGGTGGCTGTACTTAAATAGGTCTCCCATCCATGGCCTCTCACACAGACTGTTAGCGTTCTGGTTCTTTTCCTCTGGAGGACCTAGTCCTGCTTTAATAATTGTGACTTCGTTTTAAAGGTTAAGAAGTCCAGTTCAGAGGACCAGCAGGTGGTGTGATGGTTAAGGCACTGAATACTCCCACATGGTCAACCACGGTTTGAGTTCTGGACCTGGTAGCTTGCTCTCTCACTTTCCCTCCCTCTCTCTCTCTCTGTCTCTCTCTGGTCAAATTAAAATAAATGAACGAATAAATTTAATTAAATTTTAAAAAAAGAAGTCCAGTTCACTCTGCATCAGAATTCAACCTCAAATCCATTCTCGAGTACCTTCCCCACCCTGGCCCCCCGCTCAGGCCTGACCCCGGGCACGGGCACGGGTCCTGCCGTGGAGAAGGGGACTTGCCCTACTCTTTTACTTTTTTCTCCATTTCCTTCCCTTTCTGAT